TGCTGCTATTGACTGTTCTGCGGGCGGCGGTGAGGCTGCTGCAGCTGCAGCCGCAACTTCTCAGGCTCTGGGCGGGCGCCTGAAGCGGCGAGCTGGAGCGGCAGCAGGAGATTCTGGTGCTGCTGCTGCTGCTGCTGCTGCTGCTATCGCAGCCGGCCCTTGCTGCTGCTGTCGCAGCCGCCCCTTGCTGCTGCTGCTGCTGCCGCTGCTGCCTCTGGTGCTGCTGCTGCTGCGGCTGCAGCAGAGCCGCCAGTCAGCGCAGCCGACACAGTGTCTGCGTGTGGCTGCTTTTTCTCGCGGAATAAAGTCTTAAATGCATTCAATTCTTTCAATTTAAAAAGTAATAAAAAAAAACAAGGAGAGAAGTCGAAGGCTGCAGTCCTTTAACCCCAAGTCCGCCACTGCAGAAGCCCGAGTACGGGGGCCCCCCGGGGGCCCCCAGCAGCTAGACAGCGTTATGCAGCCAATGCAGAAGACTAAACGCTAAACCCTAAACCCTAAACCCTAAACCCTAAACCCTAGTTTCTTGCATAAAGTGGCTGCTGCAGCGGCTTGCGGCCCCTTTTCAGCTAAAAACGCATTGCAGGCCCGCTCTGCTGCTGCTGGTGCTTTAAACTTGGGGTGTACACACAGCTCGCCGCCACCTCCGAAGCCGAAGTATACATACACTCTAAGAGTAAAGGCCGCCAGCTACTGCGCATTTGGGAAATTAACAAAAAAGAATAGATGGGAGTCTAACAAACGCTTTATTAATGCCTAATTTTGCATATTTTATCACTTTAGATTCAATATTGTGCAATGTTTATGCTGTGCATGCTGCGTTTTGTGTATGAGTGGTGAAAGTGTCTTTTTGAACATTTTTTTAGTGCCTCTACAATTGTGCATATTCCCTCCCAAGTTCGCAGCCACATGCATGTATTTGTATATATATTTATTAATATGTAAGATATATATATTTGTATCTACATATTTATGTACATTAGTATGTATTTATGCATATA